TCTAAAAGGGAGGATTTATGGGAAGGATGCTGGAGGCCTCACAGAATTGAAGAAAGCTGTAGGAAGGGGGTAGTTCCAGGCCTTAATTAAGGGTTAAGTCAGAAAATGTGTACAACAAAGGAGTCTCTCAAACTCAGCCTCTCATTTCTTTTTCTTCCTTGGCTATCACCCGTAGTGGGAATCTGGCCATTAACTCTAAGGCCACATTCTTACAGAATTGGGAACATAAAGAAAGAAAAAACGGAGGCTTTTTTGTTGGCTGCAGCCAGAACAATGCTGGCCAAGGACTCTGGTTGGTTTGGCTTTGGTCGTGTGCCAATCCTTGGCCTAATCACTATGGCCAGAGAGTGGAGGGGCTATGTTCATCCCAGACCGAGACTAAGAAATGTGACTATTCACTGATGAGGAGAGGAGGGGGGAGGGTTGAACAGACAAAAGAAAAAGAAAGCCCCTAGAGACATCCCAAAGATACCAGACGATAACTTGATTTTTGGCAACGTGCTTACGTCACAAAGTTAAATATACATCTCACACTCAAGTGCCCCATGCCTCTCATAACGTAAATCTACAATTGATTTGCCAATATCTTGGTGTTCATAACAGCAATCAGAATTACTTGAGGCCTCCTTATAATTGTATTATTTCTTTTTTATTTGTTCAGCCTTAATATAGTTTAACATTTGTGGCGGATACTGGATTGGCACATTCAGCATCTCTTCCAACCTCTTTTCAGAATTTCTCACACTACTGCCGAGGCTGGAAAGCAAACACTTTCTCTTCCAGACCCCATACTCCTGGCTTCTGGATGTGCTTTAGGCTCTGCCAAATTGAAGCACTCGTGGGAGACTTGACTTTGGAACTGAGTTCAGTGGGGAGAGAGGCAGCACTTGAGCTATTCATTTGCTGGGACAGATTGTAGTATATGTGAGGTGGTTCTGGAACCAGCAATTGTGGCAGCAGCTGCCCAATTCAGCAGATAAATTGGCAACAAATATAAACATAAATTTCTCAAAAGAGAAAATAAAAAGCAAAAACATCTAATCAATCTACATTCACTGTATGTGTTCAATCTTATTAGTGATGAAAGAAATGCAAATTAAAAAAAAAAAGTGTTATGGTGATTTGCCACCTTGTTGAAGTGAGCAAAGGAAAAACAGCAGGAATACACGCTGCTGGCCTCAGAACAGTAAGATGGGCCCTGTCCCTACCGAGGAGAGACGAAGAAGGGTGGATTTCCTGGTATCTGCTGGGCTGCAGGAACTGAAGGCACGCTCAGGTTACCTTGGGTGGCAGTGTTTTATGAAATAAAAGCCTGGGGAGGTGGGGAAAATGGGAAACATGTAATCAGTCCTCGTGACACCTAGAATGTTCTTCAGGACGCAGCAGTTCTAGAAGTTCAACAGGTCACTCAATAACTCCAGCTGTTCCTACAGAAGCTGGCATCCCTTGCTCCCTCCTATAGTGCTCTGTCATAGGGTGACTCGGGACTCTTTCTGAAGCCTGACTCCAATTGACTAAGTCAAAAAGGAATTTGCTGGCCCTCCTGACTGGAAAGTCCAAAGGCTGGGCTGGCTCAGGACAGCTGCATCTGAGGGCTTCAATGGGGTTATTCTGTTCCTGTTAGCTCTGCTTTCCTTTGAATTGGCTTCAATCTAAAGCAGGCTCTCTCCAGGTGGTGGAGAAGGTCACTTACCTTCTCAAATCCTCTGTTTCCTCATTCTAGAAAAATGGAGCTATAAGCCACCTACACATATACTCTGTGAGGAGCCAGCGAGATAGAGTATATGTAAATGCTTTCAAACTGTGACATTTCAGAGGATTTTCTCAGTTGTCATAAGCTCAGTGGCCTGCTTTGAAACAGTCTTTCAACTTGGCCCCTATAACTTCTTCTCTGTTCTGATTATTAATAAAATTGAATAGGTGTTGTTGAGCAGGCCTGTCCTGAAATTTGGCACATAGGAAAAAAATGTCATTGTCTTTATCAAGAATGAGGGACACTATTATTAATTTTTAAAATAAAAGGTATCCATGAAACAAAAACATTTGTACCTCCTTAATATTTTGAAATTAAAAAAAAAGGTTGTTGTATTTTAAAAAAAATTGAGTTCTATGGACCCTAGAGCCTGTGGAAGCGGCCCAGGGACCACAGTATTGTAGGTGTTGGCGGGGGCGCGGGAGTGGGCAAGGCTGAACGGGTGCAGCTGCCTCGTTTCATCGGAGCAGCCCTGCTTTTGTCTGTTTTCTACATCATAATTCTAAGATTTTACACCAAAAAGGAGAGTAGTAATATGATTAAAATATTAGCAAGTTTGGCAGCATAACAGAAGAAATGAGCCAATTGCTGATATTAATTGACTAATGAAGGGGGAACTGAGTCAATCAGAGCAAAACTGAACACCACTTGATAATATCTGGAATCCAGTGTAAAAAAAAAATTGATTGGTAATAGCCCAAAGTGGTACATGTTTCAATGGCTTGCACCTGAGCAGGACTTCCCCCGTTCCCTGGCTCACGTCTGGGACTAAGGATGCTGATGCGCCGTGGCAACAGATGGGCTCACTTGACCCTACTATGCTGCACAGTACACAATGCTGTGAGTGCTTAGCCACCCCACCTCCTTCTGGGCAAAGACATGTGAGTGGAAGTGGTGTGTGTTACTCAGCACTGAGGTGGTAAACAGCTGATGCGTAACTCTCTGCACTCTCTCTTCCTGGCACTGTGATGGAGAAGGCCAACGGCTTCAGAACGTCAGCCAGAGATGGTGAGCCCCTCTGTCTCCTATAGGCCCCGTCTAACCATGAGTGAGAAATAAAGCTTTGTGTTCGTAAACCATTCGTATTCTGGGGTTACTTTGTTACAGCAGCATAGCCTTTCCAAGGAAAGGAAATTTGGGGACCCCAGGAAGTTTTTCAGGCTGGGAAATTCACAGGGGCTGGCTGGAGAAAGGAAGCTAGAAGCACTGAGCGAAATGGGGCTGGGGTGAAGAGGGGGAGGGGGTGAACAACAGCTCACTGAGGGAATGCTGTGATTTAGTGGAAAAAAACATGGATTTTGGAGTCAAATAGACCTACTTAGGGACAAAATAGGTTTCACTATTCATTTACTCTTTGAGCAAATTGCCAACCTGTCTCACTTTTCTCATCTATAAAACATAATGCCTAAGTTACAGAATTGCTGAAAAAATTATACACATATGCATATGGCTAGCATTTAGCACAGTATCTAACAGTTGGTAGGGAATCAATAAACCTAGGTACCCTTTCTCTCTGTGTTCCATTCTAACCATTTCTAAGCTTGATAGTTTCCCCTTTTGATCTCACAGACTCTACAACTAGGAATCCTTACAGTCCTTACTCCAGGATTTGCATCCCCTAAAACCCTGCTAGGGCTTTGAAACTAGAAGGGAATACTGTCAAATTCTCTGGCGTATCACTGCTTGAGCTGCACTTGAACTCTGAAGAGGAAATCACGGCCAGTGCGACTGAGGCTAAAGTCTGGGCCAGGGTGAGCTTGCGAAGGACCAGCGTGGAGGGAGGCGTGGTCTCAGCTCTCTTCTTGCACTCAGCTCAGTTCTGTCCCTCCCCGCCTCAACAGCCCTCAACAGTCTTCTGTTATCAGCCTCCGGTCTGTTTGGTGCATTTGCCCCTGCCATCCTGAACTTCAAGAAACACACACACACACACACACACACTTACTAGAAATTAAAGGAAAACCATCACATCCAAAATTATAAATAGAAAAGAAACGTATGCATTTAATGGACAACAAGTTCTAATCTTGAGTAAACTGGGAGCACTCGAGATGCCTGGAGGTCTTGGAGGCGATAGCTATAGTATCTAGTGATACCTCCTGCCATATTCTGAACATGCAAAAATTACCAGATCCCAAAGTTCCCATTTCTCATTAAATTTTAGTGAAAAAGCTTCCCTTGATCCCACCCTGGTTGAGTCTGGGAACAGGGTGTTAACTTTTATATTATAAAATGTTCTTGACTGTAGAGAATATGAAGAACTAAATGTTACAGTTTTCAAAAGGAGGCGTAACATTGAAAAAAAAATGCTGAGAAATACTGCTCCAGTGTCTTGGAATCACGTTGTCAAAGGGAAGAAAGCTAATAAGGAAGTGGGAGGAAGAAGCCCGAGAACAGCATGAAAAGGGTCCTGCTTCCACAGGGATGATGGTCCACTCACCACCGTGTAGCATTTGGTTAGTTTTAACGTGTTTTCTTGGCTTGTTCCCTCATTTACCATTAACTGTCTAAAGACGAGCTTTTTGGACATTTCATCCAGGCTTAAATGTTCTAATGGGCGTGAAGAATTGTTCACTTGCTTTAAAAAATCAGGGGAACGTCTTAATGTTGGAAGCAGCCAATCCTTGGGGTACAGTGTCCCTTGTAGTGGTAGGGAAGTTCTGGGCCATCAGTAATCCGCCCTCCTCCTCTGCAGCACCTCCTACTGCAGTCACCTCCACTAAAACGCGAGAGCGCTCAGCACTTTTTCACAACTGAGTACTTCGGCGGTTCCTGCTTCTGCCTGAGGCGGGCCAAGCGCTCTCAGCTCATTTACAGAGGAGAGATGATGGACATCTTCTGACTCCAATGGGCGCCGAGCCCATCCATGCTTGGTGGACTGGCGAGCTGCTGCCCAGCCTTGGTCCTCAGCCGGAGCACCGGCCCTCTGCTGGGTGCGCCGAGCCCCGGCAACGCTAATGGCTAACCAATGAAAAAACCATCTCAAAAGACACACACAGAGAAAAGATCCGCGTTCAGAAAGGGGTGCTCCTCCCGTCCGGTCCCCTGCATTGCAGCCCCGCAGCTTCGCAGGCCTACAGCGCTCATTTACGACTCGAATCCCCGTCTTGGGAGCGGCGGCCTCCCTTTGATCGGTCCCGCTCCCGGGTGTCCCCTTCCCCAGCTCCCGCCTCAGCCAGGGGAGCCGCTAGGGCTCGGGCCGACGCGCCGCTCCGCGCCTGCCCTCCTGCCGCACTCCGGGCTCCACTTTCACTTTCGGTCCCGGGCTGCGAGGCAGGCGGCGGCGGCGGCGGCGGCGCGAGGGAGAGCCGGCCCCAGACCCCAGGTACTGCGCGCCCTCCCGGAAAGAGGAGAACGCGGCACTGGCCCCTTTCTTGCGCCCGCCGGGGGTCCGAGGGCCTGGGGCGCGGAGAGCAGGGTGGCGGGGCACGAGGCTGGGCGAGGGGAGTCGCTGGGCTGGGCCCGAGGCCGCAGGGAGCGCGGTGGGTGATGGGCGCATGCGCTGAGCGCCTATTCCGCGGGCTCTGCGGATCGCGCCACTGTCCGCCCACAGGGGCTCCCTCCGCGCTCCGCCTCGCCGCTGGATTCCTGCCAGCCGCGCAGGCCACCAACTCCCGCGTAGGGCCAGAGGGAGGGGCGGGTGGACAGCAGGTTAGGCCAAGGATAGCACCTGGCTGATAGCTCCCGGAGAAAGGAACGTGGCTTTGGGTTAACTGCTGGGGTGGGGGTGGGGTGTTGTGTCACCCGCGGGACGCAAGTGTCCTCAAGATCAGTTCCCTCCCTGTTGCTCCTCTACTTCTTGCCAGCAATTCTCTCTCCCCCTTCGCGCTGGCTCTAGCCCGGTTTTATTCAGATAAAGCTCTCCTGTTGAGTTTTCTCTCTGGGTGCCTCTCCAGGTGGGCCAGCAAGTTAATTTCATGAGAGGAAGGGGAAGAGCAGACACTTCCTCACTGTTGGTGGAGTTCTTTGTGTAGGCTAGGTTCAGAAAGAAATGCTCTGTTTTCTATTAAATGTCTAAGAGTATTTTCTCTCAACTCAGCACATAGTCAACCATTAAAAAAAAATTGCTTCAAAACATTGGTTAGAATTATCTCTTCCCTTAGGGATTTGGAATTAAATTGATAAGCAGCACATTTTCAGGCGGGGCTTGAGTATGTTAATGTTTTCGAATTAATTCAACATTTTTATTATTAGCAGTGACAAGCTATTATCAGTGCTTGTTAATTTCATTGTTTAGAAAGTTGTGGAAGAACGTCCATTACTTCTTGATCTATGTTCCATGTCCCAATAAAGGGAAAGGCTGACCAGTTGCCCCTGGTGACTTCCATGGTGAGTGGGAAAAGTCAGAATGACCAAAGGCAGCCTAAGTAAGGTTCCTAAAATATCTTGGACTCTTCCTGGCTGTGAATTAAAGTTGGGTGGCAAAGTCTGCTACACTTTGGCGACATTGACTGTGAAAGGTGGTTTAATTTGATCAGAGGCCAAAGGAAAATGCTTTTTAAAACATTTAAGGAATATAGTACAGGAGAGTCCTTTAAAACCCTTATCTCCGTCCTCTAAACCTGTATATTCAACAGCCTGCTTGATATTTCCCTTTGGATATCTCATGAACATCACAAACATATTTTTAAAAATGAACTCAAGATTCCTTCTCCTCTCTTTTAAGTCTGTTCCACCTCTGGTCTTCTCCATCTTAATACAAGGCACCTGTGTTCATTCTAGAAACCAGGCAGCCATCCCTGATACTGTCCCCTCCCTCATCCCCCACTTCCAGTCTACCCTGGATATAGATGTTGAACCCATCCATAGTGTGTGCACGCTCTCTTGCATGCACTCTCATTCTCCCTCTCTCTCCACACCACCCCAGGACAAGCCACTAGCCTGCTTGGTCTAGACTACTTTCTAACTGGTCTCTTGGCCTTCACTCTTGCTGCTTTCCAATCTTCCACTCTCCACACGGCAACTAGGGTAATTTTCTTACAATGTGAACTGGATCTTAAGTTACCCTAGCTCAAAATCCTTCCAATGGCATCTCATTGCACTTAGGATGTTATCCAAAATCCTTAACATGCCTACAAGAATGTGTGGTGGTCTGGCCCCGCCCCACCTCTCCAGGTGCATCTTTTGCTTGAACTTGTGTTTCCAGTTCACTGGCCTTCATAACCAGTGCTCTCTACTGCCTCTGAGCATGCAAAATGATTGCTATTCCCTCTGTCTGGAATACTCTCCTGCTGCCTCTCTTCTTAGTTAATGTGTATTTTAAATCTCACCTAAAATGTCCAAAAAGAGCCCCTGATGTAAACTGGTGTGCTGTCATTCTCTTTCAGTGTGTGTGTGTTTTCCTTCATAGCTCTAATCACAGCTGGTAACTATTAATATATATACTTATGTAACCTTGTTAAAAATCTCCACTTTCTAGCTCTTTGATGTCAGGGACCTGTGCTGTCTTGTATTGCTAGTACTCAGCTAAACCCCTGGCACACAATAGGCTCTCAATAAATATTTGTGGAATGAACAATCGAAAATGTTTTTACTCATTTGGTCTTTATAATAATCCATGAGAGAGGTATTATTATTATCATCTCATTTCACACATGAGGAAAATGAAACTTGTATTAAATAACTTGCACAGTAGGTGGCAGAACAAGAACCTTGGTTTTCTTTTCTGACTGTAAGCCTGATATATATATTATTGTATAGTTATAATTTTATATGTGTATATATTTATATAAAACCACATGTGTAGAAAAATGTCAGAGATTACTACTTGGAGTTCTTAAATAAAACAATGTGAGTCTTGGTGACATGCAAAGGAAAAATGAGGAGAGTGTCATATAGGAGGAAATCAGAAAGTGAAAACACAAAGGTGTGAGATCTTGGTGAAGCAGAAAAAGCAGGGAGTTTATAATCACACAGACTTGTATTGCATTCCAGCTAGTTACGTGAACTTGACAAAGGTACATGAATGTTTCTTTGCTTCAGTTGCTTCCTCACCTCAAAACAGGGAAAATAGGCTATTAGAGTGAGAGACTGTGTAAAGTGCCTGGCACTTTGGAGGAGCTTAGTAAATGTTAGTTCTTATTCTTCCTTGGCGTGGAGTTTTACTTCAAAAAGAATTGTACTTTTCTTGGAAAGGAGCTGCCTATATTGAATAGACTACTGTTTCTGAGAGCCTTTTTTTTTTTTTTTAAACTGCATCCCTTTTAGAAAATTGTTAACAAAACTTGACTCTAGGAGACCAGTGAGAGCCATGAAATGCCCTGTTTCTAATTGAGACACTTACTATTAGAAGTGAAGCCCACACAAGAGCTAATTTTTCTGGGGAAGAGCTAAACACACTGGCACATGATCACAGAATCTTGGTTATATCCTATCGTTGGAGATTTAGAGAATTTTCTCAGTGAAATCCTTAATTCATTACACTGAGTTTTTATCAAGCCCCTCTTGTGTGCAAGATATAGTTCTAGGTGCAATACAGAGATAAATACAGTCTTGTTTCCAAGAGTTTATAACATAGTAGGGAAGGTATTACAAGTGCATTGGTTATACTATTTTGACACAGGGTGCCATAAGATGCCATGAGAGGAACAAAGAAAGTTCCGTGAGTTTCAAAGGAAGAAGAAGTCCCTTGTGCCTGGAATATTCAAGGAAGGGTTCCCAGGCATGCCTCATTTGAGTTGGAACTTGAAAGATGGGAGAAAGTTGTTGAGGTGGAGGGAGTCCTTGAGCAGAGATGTGGATAGACATGTTGAGCAAGATGTGGATAGAGAAAGTATTGGTCACATTTTGGGAACAGTCAAAAACCCATAGCAAATCCTAGGATGCATATAGTGGATTTGTGTTTTGAGATAAGGCTAAGTGGGGAGAGAAGCCTTTGTAGAACTGTGTTTCAGGGAAATCACTCAGTCTGATGACTTTAGGAGAGGAGACTACATCTCAATCTTTGAGTCTTAAACATTCAGTGAAATGTCTATGACCAGAAAGACCAGACCAGTAAGACATAATCCCTGCCTTGGGTAGTTTATAATTTAGTAAAGAGAAATAGGCATGCAGAAAATTAAGTTCACTAATGTGTTACAGATTCTAAGAATTCTGCCTAGAATTCAATAGAAGACAAAATTTAGTGGATTTTAGTGGTTTTTGCTGATTGTAAACTTCTTTGTCCTAGTTAAATCAAGGATACAAGGCAGGCAGTTTTCCTCTTAGGAAAGACCTAGTATTTATGGAAGTTTGCATCATTTATCCATTGAATGTGGGTGAATGAATTCTGACATTTACACTGTCTACATTACATGTCGCATTTTGGTTTCTGGCACTGTATCCTCCTTGAGACACAGCCCCTTCATGGACCCAACCCTGCAAAGCCTTTGATGTGAGGTCTCATCACCAACCCCTCAGCAGCCCGTGGGCTTGTTAGCTCAGAACCAGTTGGAATTTTTACATCTCCTTCGTCTTGGGCTGTTGGAGAACGCTTGGGGACTTCCAGAGTCCTTGCATGCTTGAACCTGCCACCTACATGGAGCCCTCTACTATCTTGGGATGAGGGCTAAGCCCACTAAGCTGCTGCTTTCAGAAATTCCAGGTGGAAGCAGGATACAGTTCCTTTTACTCTCTGCTTCCCCAACCTCAGCAGAAATCCATCGTTCTGCCCCTGCCCTGGGATTCTGCCTGAGAAAGTAGGGGCAGGAACTCTTTACCATATTGGTATTTAAGCTTTCTTCTCCATATTGCTCCACTCCTCTGTGGCTGAAAGCATCCTTTAATTGGTCTCTGGGATTGACTGTCTCTACGGTGTACGATCCTTTCTATCTAACCTCCAGATCCACTCCACAGGGAAGGAGGAGGGAGGCAATTTGATCTGTGTGTTTGGGAGGGGAGCAGGATGGACAGTGAGCGGTGAGGAGACCATGTCAGCCATTGCCTTGAAGTAGTATCCCATCACATGGGGTTCAAGGGGTAAGGCCAGGGTCTGGCAAGGATTATGTTGGAGCTTCTCAACCTTGGTTCCTCAGTAGAATCTCTGGGAAGTTAAAAAAAATTGATGCCCTGATCTCATCACCATAGATTCCAGGTTAATGGTATCAGTAGGGATCTAGGCATCAAAAATTTTAAAAGCTTCCTAGATAATGTTAATATGCAGCTACAATTAAGAACCTGACATCTAAGAGAGGGAGAATCCTCTGTACCATAATCATTTCGAGGGATCCACTTTGTAGCGTTACCACTTTTCTCATCCCATCTGAATGTCCAGGAGCCAGGGGAGTTTAAGTGAATTAGGGCCAATTACTGAGCTCACCTGGCAGGGGTCCCTCCTGGCAAACACCCAGTAGAGGGGTGAGTTTGTGTAAGGAAAGAAAGAACTGTGCTTGAATCTTGGCAAAGCGGATTGCCGGATCTCTTCAAATTCACATTGCTTTTATGTCCCGTGGCTTTTAAAATAAAGTGCAAAATATAGTCTGCAGCATGACTTCCGCATGCTTTGAGCCTAATCTTGTATTTACTCCCCTCATTGCCTTGCAGATAATCATTCTCCATCAAGTCCTCCTGGGTTCCCTTCTGTCCACGTCAGTTGCCGGAACAGCCTTGTACTTCCTTCCTTAGTGCTTGAGCTCCTGCCCAATTTGCTCCACCTGTGATGCCGTGAATGCTTTCCCCATTTCCAAATCTAAACTGTCCTTTCAGGCCACGGTCAAATGTGTGAAGGCATCCCCGAGGAGTCACTGCAGCCAGAGGCACTCTCTCTCGTTGGAAATATTATTCCATTCTTCCCAACACCTTCTTTTGGTATTATTTTCAAATGCTCCACATTTTCTGTGTTGTGTTTTATTATTTGCGCATGAATGTTTTCTGTTCTTCCTGAGTTTGAGGTCTTCAAGGGTGGGGTCAGTGTCGTGTGTATTATCATATCCCACATAGTACTCAGCACACAGCCTTGCGGGACGATTGTTAAGAGAGAACCCAGATGACTGATATGTTTGTCACAAACTACCAGGAAAATTAAACTCTTTAAGTCATTCCTGGCTAAATAAATACTTAATTGACTTTTGGCATGACAATTTGACAATGATACTGATGTTATTAAAGATTACTGTTACTAATACTTGCCTTTTTTCCCTCCTCACTACTCACCATCTAACTCTCCTTCTTATGCTTCTTGTTTTTCGGGAATTCTCTACCTCGTGAGGCTTGGTGGGAAGCAAGGCCTTGTTGCCCATGGCAGAAGCTAAGAAGTGCAGATCCTTGTTTTCTCCACTTTTCTGCTGGTAGCATGGATATCACACCTCGGCTCAGGCAATAGGACTTCAAAGCTGGGCCTTTGAAGCTGAAACAAGTCATGCAAAGTTGCAGGGGCAGTGGAGAACTAATTCTGGTGGTGGCTGCAGCAGTGTCAGCATCTGATTTCCAAGGCAGCAGAGCAGCTTTCTCCAAGTTCCAGTGTTGGTGGGGAGCAGTAGCTCGATTAGATGTTTCTCTGATATGGTTCCTGCTGTCCATCTTTGCCTGTTTTATGAGCCTGGTTTCCCAAGTGTCTTGCAACTCTGTGACCCATTTCATGAGCCACTAAGGATCCTCTGATGGCTCCTTTTCTTCCTGTATCAGCCAGAGCTTGTTCTGTTGCTTTCAACCAAGAGCCCGGACTGTTAGCGTTAATTTAAACTTTGAAAGCCAAATGATGCTTTCTAGTAGTGTTACTGATTATTGCTAACCATAAACTTTTTCTTCTATGAATTAATAACATAGGGAAGGTAGTTTTACTTTTATGAAAAGACCTAGTACTTTTCGAAGTTTGCATTTATATCAATTAATGCTGGGTGGACACGGTGTAAAATTACGCTGTCTAGAGGACATCTTAATGACTTTATTTATCGTCGCTTTTATACATTTGTGCCATTAGGTGATTTCAGCAAGAAGATGGTGTCTCTGTCTCTCAAGTGGCCACTTGCAACCATGTCATGTCTACTTCCCTCATTGTTGACTCTCTTGACTGTGTCTACTCCTTCATGGTGTCAGAACAGGGAAGCTACATCTCCAGAAGCCGGTAATGGGACACCATTTCCTTGGAATAAAATGCGACTTCCCGAGCGTGTCATCCCAGTTCATTATGATCTCATGATCCATGCAAATCTCACCACGCTGACTTTCTGGGGGACCACGGAAGTAGAAATCACAGCCAGCCAGCCCACCACTGCCATCATCCTGCATAGTCACCACCTACAGATATCTAAGGCCACTCTCAGGAAAGGAGCTGGAGAGAGGCTGTCGGAAGAACCACTGAGGGTCCTGGAATATCCTGCTCATGCGCAAATCGCACTCCTGGCTCCAGAGCCTCTCCTTGATGGGCTCCCGTACACAGTTGTCATCGACTATGCTGGCAATCTTTCTGAGAATTTCCATGGATTTTATAAAAGTACCTACAGAACCGAGGAAGGGGAAGTGAGGTAATTTTTTTTCTATTTTTTTAAGCTTCAAGTGCTGTACATACTAAATTTATTATTTCAGGTGGATTGTCTTTTAAAATTCCCTTGTTGTTGAACTTTCTTCACTTTTGCTTTTGCATCTTTTTTATGGCATTAAGAATGGCTTATTTTTTCCTTGCTTTTTTAATCTCATTTTTCATTTTATTTTAACCGATTTTCTTTCCTCTAATTCTCTCAGAGTAAATACCTATTTGTTTATTTAATTAGTAAACATTTTTAATTCTCTTGGCCTGCATTGGTTTCCTGAGGCTGTCATAACGAAGTACCACAGACTGGGTAGCTGAAAACAACAGAAATGTATTCTCTCATGGTTCTGGAGGCCAGAATCTGAAATCAAGGTGTCAGCAAGCCCAGGCTCTCTCTCAGACTCCGGGTGGGATCCTTTCTTGCCTCTTCCTAGCATCTGGGGGTGGCCGTGGATCCCTGGCACTCCTTGCCTTGCAGCTGCATCTCTCCTGTCTCTGCCTCTGTTGTCACCTGGCTATTCTACCTGTGTTTCCCTGTGCCCAAATTGTTATCATCTTATAAAAGATGATAAAATCTTATAAAATATGACACCAGTCATATTGGATTAGGGCCCAGCCTGATCGCCTCACCTTAACTTGATTATATCTGCAAAGACCCTATTTCCAAATAAAATCACATTCACAGATACTGGGGGTTAGGACTTCAGCATATCTTCTGGGGGTAGGGAGTTCAATCCATAATGGCCCATTAGAGGAAATATTTTTCTCTCAGTTAAAACATTTTTAGGGATCCCTACCTGCTTTACTTTGGTTCTTTTTTTAAGGAGGGAACTTATTTGGGGAGCTTTTAAGCTAAATTTTAAAATCAAATCAAAGTTTGTTAGCAGATTATATACTGGCTTATTTTCCTAATTCCCTATTATTTTATCAAGATATAAAAGTCAGATGCTACCAAAAAGAATTTTTTAAAAAGTAAAATGTGTCCCAATCATAGCCCCCTGAAATAAAAATCTATTTCAGGGGAACATCTTCCTAGCCTTCTCTTTGGATATGCATGTATGTTATTTTATGTAAATGGAATTATTATATTTTCTTTTTTACAGTGGAGTTTTTTAAAACTTAATATATTGGAAAGATGTTTTGTATAAATGACTATCACTATGCATTATTTTAATGACTTTATTAAAATATATGTTTGTACATTAATTATTTAATCCCTCTTGGTTGGAAATTAAATTCTTTCCAACTTTTCAGTATCAGCAACATTTTGATGAACATCCACGTAAGTTATTTTTTTAGAATAAATGCCTAGATGTAAAATTGGTAAGTCAAAGAGTCTACAAACTTTGGGTATGCCTTGTTATATTGCTCATCCCTAACCAATTCTGTATATTGGCAATCTTTGTAGAGCAAAGAGGCCAAAAAATGGTATCTCCCTTTAATTTACATTACTTTGATTAAGGAAGTTGAGCAGCTTGTGATATGTTTATTAATGATTTGTTTTTCTTTTCTGAATTGCTTATTTATGACTTTTGCCTGAGATTTCACTTGATTGTTGGGTATTTTCTTACTGATTTTTCGGAGCTATCTGT